GACATTATTGGAGAAAAAGACTTTGGTCTCGCTTGAGTTAACCTTGTGCCTCGAAAACCTGCTAAATTGGTCAAGGATAGCTCTAGAAAGAAACGCTTGATCCCTGGTTGCCTTGCAGAATAAAAGCAAGTCATCAGCGAAGAATAAATGAGAAAGTTTAGGACCTCCACGAGACAAAACCATAGAATCCCACAAGTTCAAATTCTGAGCATAATGGATCTGACCAAGACCCTCCATGCAAAGAACAAACAAATACGGGGAGAGAGGGAAACCTTGCCTAATCCCTCTTGTCGGTTTGAAGTCTGCTGAAAGAGAGCCATTCCAAAGAAGTTGCATTATAGCCATCCAGTGAGTTTTACCTTTCTTCCTTCTTGTAGAGTGGATAACTTCCTGAGCAACCAGGATATTATAATGCTCCTCCCAGCAATAAAACTGGCTTGATTGTGCGTAATTTCTTCAGGAAAACAAACTTGAATCTATTTGCGATGATTTTCATGACCAGTTTATAGAGAACTGTACATAGACTAATAGGCCAAAAGTCGGTGAAGGATTCAGGGTCCTTTTTGGGAATAAGAACAATCAAAGTCTTATTAATTTTCGGATCAAAAGGTTTTCCGTTGAACATATCCTTAACCCAAGCACAAAAAGATTGACCAATAGTGTGCCACTGATGTTGGTAGAACAAAGCACTCATTCCATCCACCCCGGAGATTTGAGGGGGCTCATATCGAATAGAGCAGTATGAATTTCCTCATTGGTGACTGGAGCATCCAGATTATGAACATCAGACTTCGAGAGGCATGGGAAGGCTCTCCTAACCGTAAAAGTCCCCGTACGATTACCATCATCATGATAAAGATTAGAGAAGAACATGGTAGCTTCTTCACGGAGAGTATCATCATCATAGCACCAATCTCCGTTGCTTAGACGAAGAGCTTGAATACGGTTGGCTTTCCTACGGATAAGAGCACGACTATGGAAATACTTCGTATTCCGATCACCTTCAGAAAGTCAGGTATCACACGATTTCTGTTTCCACATAAGCTTTTCCTGACCAAGCACCTCCTCCAACTTTGTACGGATTCTCAGCTCCTCATCTTTCTGGTGGGGGAGTCCAAAACTATCAATAGAGGCTTGAAGAGAAGCCATCTGCTTCTTGAGTTTTTGTTTTTCCTGCACAATATGACCAAACACATTTCTATTCCAAACTTTAAGAGAGTCTGCAATGTTACTAACCGAAAGATGGATGTTCTAGAATGACCAATTTTCTTGGATGAAGAGATCAAAATTCGGATGTTTGGTCCACCCAGCCATGAAGCGAAAAGGTCTCCTAAGTGTTCGAGGAGCCATGTCCAAGGTCTGGAGAAGAATGGGTCGGTGATCAGACTTAATGCGAGTAAGGTGGTGCATAGAAAAGTTTGGAGCAATTGTGGTCCAGGCATCATTGGCAACCATCCGGTCAAGACGTTCAGAAACGCCTCCACGGGACCAAGTAAATTGGGGCCCTTTGAAGCCAAGGTTAATGAGATTATGAGTATCCATGAAGTCACGGAACAAATTACAGCCAACACCACTCCGAATACCCCCTTTCTTTTCTGCACAATGAAGGATAGCATTAAAGTCACCAGCTAAGAGCCACAGTCCTCTAGAGCTAAGGATACTTAGGTCCCTCCAGAGGGTCTTTCTCTTAGTGGCGTTTGGATTACCATAAATTGCGGAAAATAAAAAAGGGGTTGGAATAGAACTCCCTGATATAGTAGCATGCATATATTGAGGATGAGCGGCAATAATATCCACCGATAATGAAGAATTCCATAATATCTAGATACCGCCAGAGAAGCCGGTAGCTTCGACTCTGAATGAGTGATCAAACCCAAGTTTACCAATAACTTTATCCGCATTACTCCCACTAATCCGAGGTTCCATTAAAGCTACCAAACTTGGTTTATGATCCTGAACATGCTCCTCAAAGATCTTTGGGAATTTAATCCCATCGCAACCTTGACAATTCCAAATTAATGTTGTAAAATCCGTGAAAATGAAAAAGAGGAAGAGGGATTACCACTATTGTTTGGTAGTCTTACTAACACACTCCGCCTCAGTGGACTGGGGATGAGGTTGGCTTTGAATATTATTCAAGACTCCCTTCATCGCATCAAGAACAGGAACACAAAGTCCAGAGCCAGTTTTAACTGTAGGATTCTTGTTCCGAATCACATAGGGAGCCTTCCTATCCTTCGAAACAAGGTTTCTCTGTTTTTTCCATGGTCGTTGGACTTCCTCTGTCCAATGGTAGAAGGATCTTTGAAGCTAACCACCTTATGCGACACAGGGTTCAAAGACGTTCCCATCGAGCTGCCTTCCACTCCTAGCGAGTTGACAAAAATAGGATTAGTATTAGAATTAAAACACTCACCATTTAGACTTACCTGTGAAGTTCCTTGCATTGATTCCATCGGCGTTGAATTACCAGACTTTGCTGATTTAGAAACCGTAGAAGTCAGGCCATCGCTTAAGGGGTCATGCATGGGAGAGATAACGTGGTCCACTTGCATGGGGGATATGGCACGTGCACTGGTAACTTGAATTGTTTCAACAGAAGTGTGCACAAGCAATTGAGTGGCGGGTCCCACCTTGGTAGAGCCTTGTTTCATAGGATTTGAATTCTTAGTAAGAGTTTGACCAATAGGTCGTGAATCATTATTCACAGCATGGGAAGAATCTGGTCGTTTATTCTTGCCCTTAATCGTGCCCTCTGAAACCGGCATGGAAACTTCCTTTGAGGCGGTAACTTCTCCAATTATTTCACCATTAGTTCCCTGATTATGGGTCACCTTTCCATTTTCGGTTTCATCAGCAGTTAAGGCAACAAACCTGAACCCTTGGTTCTTGGTTGCCTTAGGACTAGGTTTGTTACCGTTGCTACTTCCGGTAGGGAGGCGTCGACGTCGTCGTTCGACCATCATCCAAGGACCGTAAGGACTGTTATGAGGCTGGCCGTTTCCTTCGGCTTCGTTGGCCGACGTGATGTTATCAGGGAGTGAGTTACTTGCGGTGGTAACGTGCTCGGGAATAATATTTCTTATTGCATTTATCTTTTTATCCACTTCTGTAAGCAGTAACAAAAATCAATTATTATAATGAAGATTTCGTATAACGTTTCGTACACCATGAATAAAATAAATTTATACTTTAATTAATTATACTAATTTGAATAGATATCACGTACTTAAATTGATTTAAATTTATAATAACGTTGATATCCATTAATGAAATATATTGATAAAAGATAATATTATTTTTTTAATAGATTTAAGTTTAAGTAATTGTGTCTATAAGATATGCATACATCAATAAATATATGGAATTAAATAGTAAATAAATTTTTAGACGAATTAAATATCCTTTGTGGTAGCCAATAACCTGCTTTCACAAATTTAATTTAATAATTTAGAATATATATTATCCTTTTTGGTAGTCAAATGTAAATTTAAATATAATTTTGTGAAAACACTCACAAGTTTACATTTGACTACCAAAAAGGATAATATATATTCTAAATTATTAAATTAAATTTTTATTTAAATTAAAGTATTTAATTTAATTTGATTATTTAGTTTTTATTAATAATAAATTAATTCATTTATAACATCGATATCATGTTGAACGTCGATGTTACCTTAGGAGTAGGTTTGTTACTGTTGCTACCAGGGTCGGGGCTAGGACGTTGGAGGCCCTATACAAATTCTTAAAAAGAGACCCTTAAATCTCAATTTTACCACGATCCATAATACTTTGCTTGTTTTTTTATTGTAACAATAATAATAAATCTAATTTTTTAGGCCCTTAAATCTCAATTTTACCATTAATCCATAATACTTTATTTGTTTTTTTATTATAACAATAGTAATAAATCTAATTTTTTGGGCCCTCACTATTTCGGAACCTGTTCCGTCGCACATATTGTCCATGTACTAGCCCCGCCTCTGGTTGCTACTTCCGCTTGGGAGGCGTCGACGTTATTCCAAAAGGTTTGTTCCAGGAGTAATGTGGTTAACTTATTCCAATCCCAGCTTCCAAATATCACGTTTATAGAATTTTGAAATTTTTATTTAAAACAAAAAAACTTAAAAATTATATATTTTTTAAAACTTCAAACTTTTCTTAAATCTTAAAAAGAAAACCCAAATATTAAAAACCTTAATTCTAAAATCCAAATATCAGGCGTCGCTACTACCATCACTGTCGCCCTGGTTCTCTCTAGTCGTTGACAAACAACTATTTCAGTCGTCATCGACCATTTAGTGACCGACTGTTATCTAATTACCTTAAATTTTTAAACTTAAACACTTAAATTCTTAAAATCCCAAATATTCAAATCTTTAAAGATCTTTTAAATCTTTATAATTGATCATCATAATCGACCGTTATATCATTTGTCCGATCGTGACAATCAGCCATTTGGCCATCTATTGACCTTTGTCCATTCAAAGGTCAATCGGTGATTTGAGAAAAGAGTACGAAAGACGCAAGTGGGGATGAGACGGTTGCAAGGGATGCACGGTGTTTGGGGTTTGTTTATTTTGTTTTTAATGCTTTTTAAATAATATTTTTTAAAGAAAAAATAACATTTTTCTTTTCTAAAAATATTATTTTTTTAAATTATATAAATATAACACATGTTATTTAATATACTTTTTTTTAACAGTATTTATAACCGAGACACTTAAAATGATAATATTTATAACGTTAGTTACTTAGAATGACAAAAAAAATAATTTAAGCACTTAAATGAAACAAAAAATATAGTTTGAATACTTATTTTTATATTAATACTTATATATATATATATATATATATAAAAGATGACATTTTTTTCCTATCAGGTTGATAATTTATAAATCAAATATCATAGATTAGATATTTTAACACCGTTCAAGTAGTGCATTTGCTCTATTTAGAAATAAAAGAAAATGATAAGCTAACAGAGCCTGTAGGGGGAAAATTCAAAATGGGAAACTTTGAATACACTAGCATCTATACAAAAAGGGCTGGTTTTCATATCAATGGGTATTGATAAAGCCCAATTGATTTTAGTTTGGCATTCATTCTTCATCATCTAAGCTCATCATCCCAATCAGATTAACAAAGTTCAATCTACTTTTATTGGAACAGATTTCGCTACATCCAAATGGTTCAGCCGGCATGATCCAAGAAGATACTCCGGCAACTCCTCTTTTGTATTCGCCTGTAGGTTTCCACATCAAAAAGTTTAAGACAAAGTTGGACGTCAATGGAAGTGTAAGATCGGAAAATAAAAAAGGTCAACCTTCTCCCCCGGAGGAAAATATTAAGTGTGTTTGGTTTAATAGAAAATACAGAAGCATAATACCAAAAAGTATATCTAATGTTTGATTAAATAGTTATTTTGATTCTTTTTTTTTGGAGCATTTTAACCTTAATGTTTCATTTTAGGACAAAAAGAACTCTATTTTAGAACGTTTAAGGTTTATTGACTAATATTTTTCATTCACGTAGGATCTTTTTATCTCAAAATAAAATATTAGAGGTTAAAATGTTTGAAAAATAAATATGGACTAAAATGATTATTTAATTAAATGTTAGAGGTATTTTCTGATATTATGCAAGAAAATGAAAAGTAGAAAGTAAAAAAGTGAAGAAAATGAATTGAGTGTTATTAATAGGAAGGAAAACTGACGAGAAACAAAGAAAAGATTATCATTTTCCATCCTAATGTATAAAAACGAATCATTTTAGAATAAAAAAAGGTGAATCTTCATTGTTTTATCTTTCTAATTTACTTTTGATTTTACAAATCCAAGCCTAAACTTGCATTTTAGTTTTCCATCATTGTTTTGCTTTGTGTTTTTTTTACCTGTATCAAGAATGCCATTTCAATAACCAGATTGTTGAGGTAGCCAAGCACAAGATTGACCACGCCTCTTGCCACTGTCGACGACCCAATGTCGACCCCGAGCTGAAACACACAAATACCAAAATTTCATAATGCGAAACTTTCTCGTGCTATATTTCAATTGTCACATCTACTTTTCATTCTCTTTACGAGGCTTGAAGAGAATGAAACTAATTGTTATCATCATAAAATTCTGAATTTATAATCAATGTATATTCTTGATAGGAATAAGCTTGTCTCGTCGTATGCTGGTGGTTTATCCCTTCTGACTTGGACATAGAGACGTAATCGGTGAAGACTAGGCCGTGAGCGGAGGTTAATCCGCTTGAGGAGATGGAATGAAGGTAGAAGAAGATGAACAATATAAGTGAGAGAATGGGGAAAGAGTCTCCTTTTTAAGCCTTTTCTCGGGATATAAATAACCCGGCAATAGGAGGCTGGTGTAAGACCTATGACGGCTATAACTAATGTAGACCCACTTAAATTAGATGAATATAACTGGTGGAGCAGGCTTGACTCTAGTAAATCACATGAGACTGTCATAGGTCTAGTCGTGAGACTATAGCCATCCGAGGAGAATAAGACTTCGAATGAATGGTGGGCAGAGATATTATTTCCGGAGTATATCTCCGGAGGTATAACATACATAAATACAGTGAATCTGAATGTTTCAAAATGAGGATAGTTTAGATTTACCTCCAAGTAGTTCTTCCCATGGAAGTAATTAATTTCCAGAGCTTGGCCAATGAGGCATGCTTTCTTTCCAACACTTTGCTTAACTATCCACGATCCCTAATAAAACAAAGTCATCTATAAGAACCCTTTTCTTTATGCAAGGAGTTGCATGCAGCATGAGCTAGTATCCATGGTAAGAATGCATGCAATTAGTTATATTTCTTCATAGGTCACAAGGCCCAGGTCGACTCCGCACAGAAACCTTAATCGGAAAATGCACATCTCTGAACTGACCAAAAGAGGTGTCTAATAGAATGCACAGACAATTCGGAAAATGCAGTTTCTCCTGTTCGACTTAATCGGAGTTAGACATGAGCGTGATTGTTTCTTTTTAAGTTTATTGTTTAAGTCTCTTCTGACTAGTGAGATAGAAAAGATTATTGATCTCAACTACAAGTCTACAACATGCTGCAAGCACCAACCTTTGATATGTATGGAATGAGCTTAAACCGTGAATTTCTATATGCATCATCTCCATTGATGAAGTTGTGTAGCAAAGGTGAATCTTCCACTGGAGTAGTCATCATATAATACAGTGCTAGGTTGTATGTTGTTGAACCTGGTACCTGTTTTGCAGGAAATAATTCGATAATTTTAAATGCTAAAGAACCAATGACAACACAGATGGAAATATAACTTGACAGAATTAAATGCAAGAAAAAAAACCCAACATACCTGTATGTTTATGATGAAGAAAAACTCTGATCCTCCCCGCGCATCATATTTCTGCAAGATAAACGACTTTGTAAAATTATTTTAATTGACAGCCAAGATATTCCAAATGCAACTAATGGATCTTATAGATGATTCAAGAGCAATGACCTCAAATTCTCAATTCAAAAAAATGTACACGGCATATATTGGGAGGGGAGGGGGCGGAAAACCTGAACAATGCTCCCGGGACGCCCTCCTAGATCATCTTCTCTTTTGTCAGATCTTAGCCAATCTGCAGCAACCATTTGCATCAGTGTGCCCTTTGCCTTAAACTGAAAGAAAGCAGAGTAAATATAGAATTTTAAACTGGAAGTTGAAATTTAATGCAGGGAAACTAAAAGTGGAGCTATATAAAACAAAAGCCAAAACGAATTCAATGGGGATATCCATGACTACAAACTTCTAGTTGCTGATCACCATATGACATCTATAAACTCTACAAAAGCCTACAATTGATTATATCCAAAACATGATATGCAAAACATGGAAGGGCAAGCATAATTAGAGATCATTAGAGACAAATGCCAGTTCACTGCATGATTGCAATCATGCTTACAATGAAGCATCATAGAACACACCAGCTGAATTTTTGTCATACACATCAACTTCGTCCTCACTGAAACATTTTCCTTCATACCTTCTTATGGTCCTCTAGGTAATTCTCTCCACGAATTAAAAATGTTGAGGGTTCTGCGGCAGTCCAACTACAAGGCAATGTGCAAGTTGGATCCTTGGGAAGAGTTTTCCCATAGGAGCAAGATGTACCATCTTCCCTTGTCATGTCTTGTAAGTCCATGTAGCCCCGTTTTTGGACTACAACATAGAAGAACTGTAAGTCATCAGCAAATTATGTTTCTACAACTTTTTCTGAAAAAGAAAATTCTTCATTGATACATAATTTAAGGTGAATACAGATAATCCAAATAGGAACCACCTGCAAGACCATGTAACTTTTTGACTAAAACAGCTGCAGTTGATAACTTTGGATGGCGTGTATCCTGCAAATTTCTCAGTCGCAGAAATAAAATGAGAAAATCAGAGAAAAATGATACACACAGAACTAGTAAAATCCTCATTTACTGATGGCGTAACAGGAACGCAACCACATTAACTGCAAATTCACTTTCACGTAAAAACCAATAATAACTGTTTTGATGTGCACCTGAGAGTACACTTCAGGACCAAAGTCAGAAGCCCATCCACCTTCTGATTGATCATAGTCTGTTGGTTCAGGAAAGTCAAAGAATTCATCAGCTGCATCATTAAGACCTAACAGGATCGAGTGTTCTGAAGGAGCCCTTTCCATTCCTTCAGTTATAGTTTCCTTAGTTTTCCCAGCCTCTATTTGTGTACACATATCAACTGCACCATCTTCTACACTCTGGTGCAACCTAACATTTCTTATGAATTCTCCTGATGAAAGATCTGCTGAAGGATATTTTCCTTGTTTTGCTCTGAATAACTCTCGTAATGCTGCAAGTACATGGTATAAATACTTAGAATTTAATGCCTCAAATGATCACACAAAGTTATAACACAGATACACAAAACACACATGAAGTATATGAACAAATGAATAAGATTATAGCAGCAGCTGAGAGGCTTGGGATGATAAATCACAGAGTTATAACACATATACATGATTTACCAGCAATTCTCTCAAGCATCCGAGTCGTAATAGATCGGGATGCTGAAGTTCGAAGATAAGATTTCCAGAATTTCCAATCAATTGCAAGCATGTGTTTTACAACAGATTGTTTTCCTTCATTCACAGGAGATACGACATATCCACCACCTGCAAGTAAGCGTCAAACATTAACCTTGTAGATTAACCTTTGATTTTGCTGCTTTTAAATAGATATCCTCCTTGCTCCTTTTTTTTCACAAAAAAGTGTGCATCATATGCCACAACCCACATATTTCTACGTGGTATACAAGGACAACAGTAAAGTTGATAAAATGAAAATAAAGCAATGGAATAAGAACTTATGAGCAGTATTAAAATTGAGAAGCCAAAGAAGGTTCAATATCACACACAAACCAGTATACATGCATGTGATCACTCACACATGAGATTATAAGGAAACAAGGCTCTTGGATGCTAAATTTAAACCAAAAACAGTTCATGCTACTTATAACATATTTACTTATGTATAATAGCATAACATAGCAAACTCAGAAAATCTAAAAAAGTTCTCTTTCGCTAATTATATATTTCAGGCATACATTACTTTTAAGGCAGGCACGAACATAGCTTTTCTGTGGGGGGCAGTTCTTGTGAAACACCGAATGGCAGAGAATAACTGTCATAATAACAACCATATCAACCAAAATAAGTTAATTTGATCCGTTCCAACTTCTGCATAAAAATTTAAAGAATTTCTTCAAAGCAATTAGTACCATATGTTCCATCATCTTCTCTTCTCCAATAGCGCCGCAACAAGAGATCCCTCCTTTGCATTCCCCTGCAAGGATAATGAGTTAAGAAGAAACATATATACAGAAACCTGTCTTGCCAAACATGTTGACTAAATCAGAAATTTGGATCTGACCAAGGTAACCAATCACCATAAAGCTGCTTGTGCACAATATCAGTATGACCATCAAGATGTTCAACCACGCAACCCTTGTAGAAACAGAAGTCCCATCTGCAAGACAATTTGCAAAATTAGCCTTGGTTTTAGAAAAGGAGACAAAGTGTGTCAGATAAGAAAATTACAATTCTAGATTAACAGAATTATAATTTTGCACAACTTTAGGAAACAAGAGAGCACATGTAAGTAATGACAAATAAAAATGAATTCATTAAAAAGTGAACTAAATTCAGATGCCAAACTTTGCATGGTATCATCTTCAGAATTTGCATTTCTTCTTATGGTTTTTGTGTAGCTATTAAACTATTGTGTATTAAGAGTTTCTAAAGAGACTGAAGTTCACATTAACCAGGGAAGCAATTACACGGTTACTCTTTCATCCATCAAACTGAAATTCACATTTCTTATCCAGAACAACAACAATGACACATGAGCTCCAACAGCACACGAAAATATGTCCTATAGGAATAGCAATCACAAATGCTAGATCTAGTATAATTACTATTATGCACAGATCTAAAATACCACTTGATAAATCAAGCCATGCCTCTTGCAAAAGAAGAGCTTTATTTTCAGAAATTACAGAGTACTTGGCACTTGGAAGCTTACTCTGATCTTGATGGTCCAAGAGACATAAGCGTCTGGAAAATGGCTGCCGAAGTTCCATCTACGACACCCACAGCCATGATTGCTGGATGGTCATCCCACTGCCAATGGAGGGAGGAGAGAAAAAAGTCATGGAATAGAATGAAATCCTTGACTTGTGAATCAAAAGCTACTGACCTTTCTATGAGGATCCCTTTCTTTAGCTTCTTTAAACAGTCTGAGACCTGCATTGCCTAGTGGTTTTAAACAAACAACTATGTCAATCTAGAAAATCAGAAACATTTGTTTTCTACTTACCATTTTGGCATCCAAAGATTGTCCAAGGTGACGGCGCTACAACATCAGATATCGCTCTGTCCATCTTCGTGGATGAATTAAGAGTCCAGTCAAGAGAATTATTGTGATATTCATTATTGGAACCACTTGATCTGCATGCACGGAGTCCTTCTAAGAAACTGATATATAGTTATGGGGAACAGATATGAGAGGATACATGATAAAAAGAGCATCATGTCGTACATCACTACTAACTACTCCAAACAAACTCAACATAAGTTATTCAAGCAATCTGCTTATAACAAATAATTTACAAGCATAGGTGAACAGATAACAAAAAATGCAGAAGCTTATGCTGACTAGAAATGCTAGATGGTGAATCATTATTATACCTGAAGGACTGCCATCTGCTCTTAGGATAAGCAGCATCATTTCTGGGGTATGGACCATCCTGAATATATTCATAAAAAATGTCCTGTCTCATCTCATTTTACGCCTGAAAGTTAAGATGTACATTAACAAGAGGAAGAAGTTCAGCACCTTTAAGGATGCTTCCTGAATGGAATGAATCCATTTTGCTGCTTCTTCGGGGCTACTAGCACCTAACTGTTACATTTACATTCCATATCTCATAAATGAAGGTCAAGGTATGATATATATTGATTAACAATCCTTTTGTCAAATATTTGCCTCACCTTAAGTTGATCACTGTGATTAGAACTATTATAAAGGGTGAATATAAAGAACACCTACAAGTCAGATAAAGAGCTGCTGTTACAAGGGTCCAATGGCATGAACTAATCAGAACACAAAAACCAAAAACTTTAACACTTTCCTAGGGGAGAAAATCACATACTTTTCTGTGAATGCTTTCCCTCCCATTGTCAGCAACTCGAACACATGAATCAATGACTGCACGTCTACCAGGTTCCTGAAAGGAAAATCAAGGTTTATCTTTTATGCTCACTAAAATTGTCGAATCTGTCAAATAGGCAGCCTGCAACAGTGAAGCTTAAACAAAAAGGAAAAATATCAACTCAATAATGAATTTGAGCCTAAATACTATGTTAGCATCCCCATTTACTGACTAATAAAATTGTATACACAATACTTTTTCAAATCTAAAAAAGAACTGCAACAGCAAGACACAGAAGCACTAGATAGCCTGATCATCAGGTGTTCTTCGAAGGCAGCTTCAGCTGTTTCCTACTAAAGCATAGACGTAAAATCTCATGATCATTGTATAATTACGCATAAATTAGAGATACTTCTTTCCTTGGCTTGATTGTAATCAAATCAACTCAACTTTCAAAAAGAAATAAGAAACATAAAGACTGACATGTGAATGGTAAAGTATTCCCGATACAAACTTGACAGTAGAATTCTCCATATTTACCTATAAACAGTTATTTCTCTAACCAGAAGTAAATGAACCAGTAAATCTGGAAGACAGCTCAATTGAAGCTATTCAAAAGAGTTTATCTAAGAAAAGAGTCAGCTACATATGTTAAAAAGAAAGAAGAAGAATAAATGCTTCAACCAAGCTCTCTCCTTGTCGAAGCACTCATGCACTAGCAGAAAGCGTGTTTCCGGTGAATTATTAAGTATATTCGACCAATACATATAAGTAAACAAAATCATTATTGAATAAACGAATAAAAATATATAAGTATCATTACTTCATAAATTCGTTATTCATTTATTATAGCAACTGGATCGATTAATCAAAAAGTATAAAAAAAACCCTCCGAGAATCATATTAAAGTTAAATGCCATTATTTGTTTAAATATTCGCAAATGAGTAAAGAAGCTTGCAAAATAAGCTTCTTCACAAAAAGAAATTACGAGAAGAAGGAAGAGACCTGGAGATTGGAAATGGGCATGGATTTGAAGCTCTTAAGAAGATTTTCTTCAAGAACAAAGTAACGTTTCCTTGAGTACTGTAATCTAAACCGATTCGAGCGAATTATATGTAACCATCCTTCCATTTTCAATTCTCCGCTCTGCGAAGAACCAGCCATTTTTCTCCTCCTTTTTCTTCAAAAACAAGAGGAAGAAAACTCTTTGCCAAACAAACACGGAATTAAGAGAGAAAAAATTATGGCAATGAAAAGATAATTCGATTCTTCGATCCCCAGTAATGGAATGCCAAATAATAATATATATATATTTTTGGATTGGTGTAATACAAAGAAAAGAACAGGAAAAAAAATGACTCGGCTTATCAATCGTTTGCGTTTTTTTTTCCTGTTTTCTCTTTGTTTAAGAAAACTGAAAATTCTGAGATGGAGGAAGCTTGTATGAGACAAAGATTGGCAAGCGAATATTGAATTTATTCAAAATTACCTTATCACCCTTTACACCTGTCATTTGAAGTTTAAAAAGTACGCGAAATTTATGCAACCAATCATCTACTTCCCCTTTTCACCTTTTTTTTATTTATTAATCTTATAAACTACACGTTTAGTATCTGAATTATTACTTTTGATCCGTTTTGGTACTCAGACTTGATTTCCTTTTAAAATCATACTAACGTTTAGTTTACGTTTCATTTTGGTACCCACCATTAAAAAATTAATAGAACTATTGACGTGGTATTTTTATTTTTAATGATGTCGTAGAATTAACTTATGATGATACCTCAACATCATCGTTAAATTTTTAATGGATGAGTACCAAAATAAAACTTAAACTAAACCTTAGGTATGTTTTGAAATAAAATAAAGTTTGGGTATTAAAATAGAAAAAAGTAATAGTTTAGGTACTATTTATGTAGTTTACTCTTAAAGTTTTTGTCTAAAATACGCCATAGATCACTTAATTATGTTAAAATGAACTTTTTTGTCATTAAACTTTCAAAAGTTACAAAATAATATTAAACTTGTCAAACTATTACAAAATATTCTTATTATGTTATAACAGTAATAAAATTTTGATAAATTAAATTTTGATAAATTGAAGGATCATTCTATAATATTTTATGAGTTTAATGAACATTTTATAATAGTTCAATAAATTTTAATAATAATTTTTTAATCATTTGGGAAGTCTAGTGATTATTTATACTATTTGAAAGTTTGCTGACCAAAACAAAATTATTTTGACATAGCTTAGTGACCTTTATACTTCGCCTTATTTTAAAGTGTTTTTTTATTTATTTATTTAATATATTGTATTTATTTTCAATTAATTTTCAAAATATTCCCTTTTGTTGGAATTTTATTAATGCGAGACTCTTCTTATGTTGGAATTATATTTTTTTTATTGTTTTGGAATTTTTATATTTGATTGATTGGAAAGTTTAATTTTGGTGATGCTTGTTGTTAATTTTACTTTAGTGTTTAGACAAGTATGCAATAGGTGCAAGGTGTTGAATTGTGGCATGTTATGCTCTATGATATGTTTTGTTAAGTTTAGGCAATTCAACTGATATGTGGATTGTGTGACGAGTATATTAGAATAGATAAGTGATTATAATTGTCTAAAGTGATTAAAGGATGCCTAAATTGACCATTGTGATCAAATATTTTTTTTTATTTTTAAAAGTATGATTGTTTGTTAATTGAATCATTCAAAGCATGAATTTATTGAAAATCAATATATTTTTTTTGTCTCAAGTATGTTTATGTATGATTTTTTATTAGTCTAGGATAAATACAATTTAATATATATTCAAACTCTCAATCATTTGACATTGAACACTCATAACCCTCTGCATACATGATACTAGAACTCGAGATCTCAATGTATAACAACAATTTCTTAACCATTAAGGTTGCTTGGTCCGTACTTTATATGTGATCTTAAACTATATAAAACAACTAGAAGTTAGATTGATAGCTCAATTATGTGTGAACAACCTTGGTTTTGCAATTATCCAGCAAAAGGATAAATTGTGAAGATGTTGAAAGGGTGATTCAAATTATTATGGGCAGTTATTATTATTTAATCATTTTTTATTATTTTATATGTTATTTAGTTGTTTATAATCTTGTGGTCGTGGGATCGAGTCCTACGGTGGGCAATTCATAATTCTGATTGTCGGAGGTCTTCCACGGAAGCTGCTCTTAACCTGGCGTTGGGGGTATAGCCTACTACCCTACCTCCCCCTTACCCCATTACATATGGGAATAGGGCGAGCTAAATTTTTTTTATTTAGTTGTTTAGTGATAAGTTATGTTTCATTTAGTTGTTTAGTGTTTAATGGTCAGTTATGTTCAATTAACACTTTTTATTATTTAAACCATGTACTCTATGATCTTCATTAATGGAAAAAGCAATATTTTCTGTTCATATCACTTCTTTCTTTTGAGCATATTTTTTCTTGTCTGTTTTACCAACAGAATAGTGAGAGGAGATGAAGGGGGAAATGAGTGGTTTATTTAAAGAATGAAATTCATTTATGCTGGGAAGATATAAAATGTTTGAAACACCACCTTAATTACATAAAATCCTGTTATGCTTTAGACATGGGAAACCTTGTCTGAATTTTTAACTTCATGGCCTTCTTTCTCGACAGCCAGAATCAATGTTTCTTCCTTGTCTTTCATCTGTAAAACAACGCATAAATAAACATGGTCAATTTCCCTTCTCGAAATATATATAGACAGGGAAGAAAGGTATACACATATAGGGCTATAAGTCAAGTTCAGTTCGATTCAGGAAGTATAAAGCTGAGTTTGATTTTATTTAAAGACTTGCAAGTTTAAATTTGTCTACTCGAATTCAAATTAAAATTGAAGTTCTACATGAGAATGAAAAAACTTGAACTTGAAATATTCTCAGATTGCTCGATTGAAGCTCGAATTTGAACTCTAACTCAAACCTAAACCTTGAGTACATTAAATAATAAAACAATTATATTGCATTAAAAAATATATAAATGTTAATATTATTAATAATTTATTTTAAAAAATTTTAAAAATTAAAATATTATTTTTTTGAACTGTTCGCGATTTTTTTGAGTTAAGTATCAAGTAGTTCGTTTTGGTATATTAAAAACTCAAATCAAGTTCGAGCTCTAATCGAGTCCAAACCAAATCAAACTCGAATAACTTATAATTTGTCTCGTCTCATTTGAGGTCATTTATATATATATATGGGGTAGAATTTAATTACATAATATTTTTATTTAGTTTTACATAGATTTAGGATTTTGAACGAATGCATATAGACAATTGAGATTAATAATAATAAATGTGAAGATATTCATTGAAAAAGAAAAATAATAATTAATCTCAACCATCTATTTTTACTCATTCAACAATCTTTAATTTTTCTAAAACTAAAATAATTTTATATTTTTGTTAGTAGATACTAATTCTATATATACACGTCAGTGCTTACTGTATAAAATGTACTTATACCTGATACTCCAATGGATCGGCTTGTTTCCTTTTGTTCTCTTGGGTGCAAAAATATGAATATAAACCCATGCCAAAAATGGCTATCAGGATTCCGATGATATTCTTTTCTGTAAAAGGGTCATGCAGCAGCGTATAACCCAAAGTAAGAACCAGGCAAGTCTTGAGGTGGCCCAGCACTTGATATGTAACTGGGGATGTTTTCCCAATAACCAGAAAAGTGCTAAAGTTGACTGATACTGAAATAATGCACGACAGCATGATAAAAGCCTGCAAATCAATGTAAGTTGAGCTGTCATTAGTTACCTGAAATATCGTGTCGATTATCTGTTTGTTGAAATGCCGAGTAAAGGGAAGGCTTGGGTTCTTTTTACCAAGACTATAGGGGAATACTTGTAAGCAAACACATTTTGCTTGGTGAGGAACTTGTCTACCACAGGGCCTGAGACAAAAAGAATAGCTGCTTGAAATGGGGCTGACTGGTACAGCAGCTGGGTTGAAGAGACATTCAGCCTCTTCTGTATGGTGTTTGTCAGCTATATTCATCAAAGTTAAGAATAAGCTTTTTAGTGACCTTTTCAAGGAAACAAAAAAGAAATGCTGTTCAATATTGAATTTTGAAGATCATTTCAGAAAACCCATTTCATTGTTGAGCTTCATTCCCTTGGAATATGGGTCTTAAATGTGAATCATTGATCAGTTGATGCATCTTAAGCCCGAGTTTTAAAGGATACAATTTGTGCAACACAGGTGGTTGCAATTGCAAGGAGAGAAAGGATTGTCCCAACAAAATTGAGTTGGAGATCGGTTATAGAGGCAATGCCAACTCCAACAAGTAAAAGGAAGAGGGACAGCTTTATCTTTTGGCTGCACAGAGTAAAACATAAAGTTATGGTAAAGCTTTGAATATCAAAAAATGCTTCGACTATCAGAAGTTTAGTGACAATGTCAAAAGAATAAAAACCTGAATTGCTTTTTCAGGAAGATTGTTTCCAATAATACAGTGAATGGTATGATTGCAAGTTTAGTCATCTGTCAAAAGAGTCTCCGCAAAGAATAAGGTTCTGAATAAATATACATTTTTGAAATGATTTTCATGAGTACGTGGTACTAATGTCTGCAGATATGGAGTTCACCTGATAAAATCCAATGGAGTTAAATCCAAGGCTCAAATTGAGAAGTCCGATAGAAACACCGTTGAGGAGGCCGAAGAGAATCACGGTCTTCATGTCGATTGATTTATTCTCAAACAGATTGGATCGTTGAGCCGCGTGAAGGGTGCAAAATGTTACCATGAGATGCCAACTGGTGAGTGTTGTAGCTGCACCAAGGAGAAATGAAGATGTGAAGAAAATCAACACAATATGATAATTGGCAATCCTATTTCAAACAAAGAGAAATTACCAAAAGGGAAGCCAAGATTGCTCATCAAAGCTTTGTTGCATATGACAATGGAGACAGATGATGCAACGGAAAGAAACAGGGCCCCAATGACACCTAATTGGAAGCTTGACATCTCCCCCATCTTTGGTGAAACAAAATAGAAAAATAAGAATATTAGAAAGAAGTTTACTGCAAATGTATAGAACATGTTTTGCAGTGTACAAAACTATGGAAATACATTCTTAAAACATTTATGAACTTTGCTCTAATGATCTGAATAAATGTTCTTCAACCTTTTCTGGCTTGCATGTTTAAGAGACAACGTAGCAACGAAAAAGAAGACATTGTTTTGCTTCAGATAATATCAATGCAGAAAAGACAGTATTTGTATAAATGCTATATTGCAAAGGAAGTTTCATCAATCACAATCCCAAATTAAAAAAAAAGTATGAGAATGAACAGAGAGAGAGAGAGACCTTTGAAAGAATACAAATTCACAAAGATTATCGACACAGGGTTGCTAAAACTCCATAAAATCACCAGGAAACTCAGTAGTGAGAGCGCAGGAGAAAAGGGTCGAGAAAAAAGAAAGAAAGATAGAAAGACCAGAGAGAGAGAGTTGACAGGCTTGTTTGGGAATGTAGGCATTTAAGCAGTCTTTTTATGTAGATTGCTAACAAGGTTGGTGCTTCACGCTGTTACAGTTTGAAGTACAACGTGTATTTGCTTTTTTGTTCTTCCAGAAGCAAGTTAAATGAATAACTTAAGCAATCAAAGACGATCAATCTTTCAAAAAGAATCTGAGATGACTTAGTAAATTTTCAAAAAGACAGTTTATTTTGCATTAGAGAAACCCATATGTGAAATCTAACCTTAAAAGCTAGTTTTTAATCGCATTCAAGTTAATATGGTTGTCTTTGGTTGTATGTAACAAATTTCATTAATGTAAGGAAAAAAATTATGAATGGTGCATTAGTTTTGGTCATGTTTAAGCTTTCAAAATTAGCTGTTAAGAACAGTCACAGTCCAATGGGGTCTTCCAATGACATTAGCTTTAGTCCACAAGCCAGGAAGGTAAGATGAACATTTTCTTATATAAAAGTTAGGTACCGGCCAATTGAAGCAAAAAGGCTTTACCATCTTAAAACTCCAACTTGAGTTTGGTGAGAAACCAAATAAAATAAAAAGCTTTTATTTCACTCATTAAGAGAGGGCTTTTCTTGGCTTCCTTTAAGCATCACCATTACCAACCAGGCAAATTAGGGAACTATCAAGCACAATTATTCAATACATGGTTATTTTAATTGATCATGAGATGGATATACAATACATTACATTGCATGTATCATGCTAAATATGGCTTTTCGACTTGTACGGTAGAAAAATACGGCTCAAAATCCTTGAAAGATGCTTGGGGTATATTTCATTGCTTGCAGATTTCTGTGTAGAGGGTAGCAATTCAGGTTATACAGCAGCAGTCATTCTTAACAAGGCAAATGGAGGCACCATAGTTAAACCTGAGATCATGCAGATCACTAGGTGCATGCTCCGTTTCACTTTTGTTACTCAAATTCGAGTTAGAATATTGGATTCGAGTATACATCTCGCTTGAAGATGTTCAATTTGCCTAATGTTTTCACTAGCTTGAGGGTATTTTCAATAAAAATAAAGTTGGAGCAACATAGAGATTGAGTTCCTGCACTACCAGCTGGAAATCTTCAATGGCAAGTATAAATGAGGTTCAAATGTCAATGCAGCTGTAGACAAATCAATATTCAGCTGTTACTGAAAAATGCCTCCACTTAATTACTTTATAATTTGAGATTTACATAATTTGAGTATGATGCAGAAATTAAGTATTGATTAAATCAGCTGAAAGCTCCTCGCCTTGCACGTTGGCTTTACAATTATTTTGAGTTAAATAATGTCAGGTTTTCATGATAACAATGACTTAGCTGAACACCTGGAAGCTTGTTAATGAAATCTAATGCCGGATATGTCTTTTAAGGGTTTGGATTTCATTGGTTAAGGTTTTGTGGTCTAATCATAAAACAGAGAGAACTATACGAGAGTCTGAGGACGTAATAAGACGTTAGTATTTTTATTTGCTCGATTCGAGTATTTTCAATGATGGAAAAAAATTTAGAGGAAGAGAGTTGTAAAACTCTAAAATCCGGTTTAGTATAATCATGTAAATATTTCGGTAATCAATTCCGATTTTTATAGATTTCTAAAAAATAATTTTTGAGTCAAAATGAATTTTAAAAAAAGATAATTTTTTCTAAAATAGATTTTAGTTTAAAATTGGTTAAAGATAATGATTTTTAAATTTTAGAATATTAATTAAATATTTTAATTAAGTTTATTTAAATTTAAAGTTCTAGAAGATTAATTAAAGAATTACTTTTAATTAAGGAAAATAAGACTATTTTACTTTAAGTTCTTTAGTTTTAGCTTTAGTCATTAGTTAGAGTCTTAGGGACTGTTTGTTTGCCTCTTAATGGAATCATTCAGCGCTGAATGCTGAATCGTTTCATCATTCAGCGCGTTTGTTTCGCACCTCTGAATGATTCAGTGCTGACTGATTCAACAAAACAATGTTGAATGATTCAGCACAGAAGTACATTCTGAATGATTCAAGTCATTATCAAACATCATGTCACATTCAGAGCTAATTCATACAGAGCATCTGAATCGTTCAGCGCTTAATCATTCTGAAATAAACAAGCAGCCTCTTAGTTTAAGTTCTTTAATTAGAAATTAATTAAGTTTAGAATTATCCTTTTAGGATTGGTTTCTTTAATAAAATTAATTAGAAATCAATAAATAAATTCATAATTTGATTTAAATAGAATATCTATTTATTTTTAAATATTGAAATGAATTATCTTAGAATAACTATATATTTATTTTTCAATATTTTTAAATAAATAAATATTCTTCTAGTGATCACTTGAAAAATTAAATAGGCTCATTAATTCAAAAACAAAAGGTTAGAGGTATATTCCTATGTTTAAATTGCTAAGGACAAGTTGTTTGATTAACGTCAAAGGCTTGGCCTTCGTTTTTTAAATCAAGGAACATTCTTATTCTCATAAATAATAATTTGACTAGCTTGTCATCTTTAATTTTCTTTTAATTCTATATTTTTTTAAGAATGACAATATTTCATTATTTCGATTAAAACATAATAAATAATCACCTTAAATCCGATTAGGGGTTAGTTTATTCTTTAATTGAAAATAGATAAATACTATGCGTCTCTCTAAAATTCTTTAATTAGTTTAAAAATTCTTATTTTAAGGAATAAAATGATCATCAATTAAATAATATTCAAAAAATTTAATTTTCAATTTAGAGACAAATTCGTAGTTAAACATACTAATTTTTTTGCGTTCTTCATAATCTCTAAATCGTAGGCCAAATCACGAATCAAATCTTTTCTAAAATTCTGATTCTTAATTCAATTTCTAAATTTATTTCATATATGCCTTCGAGAAAAAAGTTCTCATGACACAATTATTTCTTTTTTTTTTTAAAAAAAGAAATTTTTACATAGTTGAAAATATGAAACAAAAAATTGTGAAACAATTTTAACAGTAACAGAAGAGACAAAAGCCGTGAAACATGAACCAAAAGCAGAATATACCATTCCAGTATCACATATTTAAGTGATCAATTCCCCCCCCCCCAAAATTTCCCAGAGTTACATTCTTATACCCCTTCCTTATCAACGTATATAAACAACTTAATTCCCATCTTCTCACTTTTTCTCAACATTTCAATTATATCCAGTTCTTATTAATTTTACATATCAGAACAAGAAAATATACCCACTTATACCTTGCTTCATATTCTACAAAAATAAAAAAAGGGTTCATAAAACCGAAATGAAATGAATGTAGGGTGATGGATGTTTTTTGAACATTTCACTGATGATTTACCTTGGCTCTGGACGGGCTGGAAATGACTGAGCTTGTCGAAGCTTTCGTTGCGGAGGGTTGCCGAAGAACATGGTCTGGGATCGCGTCACCATATCTGTCATCGTAGGGGTCTGGTAAGCTTGAACGAGGCTTGTGCTATTGGTGGAATCACCTCTCGCGGTTGCTCTCTGCCAGGAATGTGAGCTCAAACCAGATAACACATAAGCCCTACCTGATGACTCGTAAACTTGACGGTTCGCCATCCTTTCTTACATCTCCTTTAGTTCTGCAGATAGTGCAACACATAATCTGTCACCAGCCCATGCAGAATCAGTTTCTGATAAAGCCCTGCGACAACTCTCTAGCAGAGAGACAGCGGCAGTTAGATCACCATGTTCAGCAGCAGCTCTAGCCTCGGCCATAGCCTCTGCGGCGCGGAGCCTGTTTTTTCCCGTCTACTTCCATTGACACTACTGTTTGTCCAATTATTGTGGGCCTCTGGATCTTACTTCATTTGCTTCTTCCAAAGACACCATTTCTTTCAATATGGGGTCTCGGTAAATACATTGAACTTTGAGCAATGACATCTCATCAAGGGATTCGTCAACTGGAACATGGACTGTCACCAGAAAATCTCTTTCTTCTTCAGCATACAAGTCTCCTGCATCAATAGAACCTGTTTTGGCATCAGCTGAGATGCTAGTTCGATAACTCCCTGCCTTTATCGAATTAATTCCACATTTGGGTAAGTGCACTCAACTTTAACACATGCCTCCTGCACTACCACACTTAGAAGCCCTCCGATGCATTGAGCAAATGCATCTTGGATCACACCTTCAGCTTCAATGAAAGAAAATGTACCCCGGATATCTCAGAAATCGAATGCATTGAAGCAGCATCGTGGTCAGCACCAAACCCAAAGGCATGCACAGGGATACGGGGACCTGCAGAGAGAAGTGATTTGTAATCTGTCTGGGAGTGTGCTCTGCCAGGACTTATGACGGTGTAAGTATCCTGCCCATCGATAACAGTATAATGCTTCCAACTGGGTTCTTCCACCTTCGATCTATTATTACCTTGGCAGCTTTCCTAAGCCCTTCAGCAATATTTGTCCCACCATTTGAAGTAAGAAAGTTAACAGCATGCAATGCTTCCTGCCGGCCTGTTTCAGTCATCCGGCGAAGAGGAAAGAGGCGATGGGCTGTGGAGGAGAATGCTATAACAGAAAGCCGGTCAGAGGACCCAAGATGCTGTATAACGAACCCCATAGCCCGTTTTAGTAATGCAAGCTTGGTCCCCGCCATGCTGCCACTAACATCAAGAACAGTTATAAGGTCAACTGGGGCACGAGAACTTTGAGTCCAAGGGGATAATATAGTTTGATTTCTACTATTTATCCCTCCACTTGTACGGAGAGCCTTGAGATGGATAATATCGCAAAATTATTACGACTGGTTGCTCTTGGAATGGCCAACACTTCAGGATATGTTTTAACTTCGATTGTTCCACTAGAGTTATTCTTAGTAGCATCACTGGCAAAGACATTTTCCTCAGTTGTCTCATCCTGCTGATCCAGGACTTCATCATCATCGAATGTTCCAGGTTCAGAGGGATGAAAGAGTGAAGCAATCTGCCTAGTTGGATCTAACCGAAGGGAAGGCATCTGCCGTACCACAGTCGTCCTCGCATCATCCCG